CCGACGTACGACTGGCCGTCCAGGAAGCCAACGATGCTCGGCGTGGTGCGGCTTCCGTTGTCATTGGCTAAAATCTCCACCTTCCTCCTTCGGCACACCCCGACCACCGAGTACGTTGTGCCCAGGTCGATCCCAATAACAACTCCGGCACCGTCGGGCAAGTCCAAGTCATCTTTGGCATGAGTAAACAAAATACTCATTGGATATATAGATTTTCTTTGCCTTTAATTAATAGATTAATTTTGGGGGAGGGTCATTGTTGCCGATCGAAAAAAATTACATGAAGTGAACCGCCATATAACCATCAGCTCAACCAAACGGTTATGCTTCTCTTCCGCAAAACGCCATGCAATGACGCGGAGGGGGTAATAACTTCGAATTCAAGTGTACACATGATTCCCGGAGTCTATGATTCACGTTCATTCCCATTGATCCCCGTCATGATTTTCATTGATTTCCGTTGATTTCCGTCGTGATTCTCATTGATTCCCGGACCGGCGCCGGTGTGTACACCCAGAGTTATTGCTCCCTCGCAATGACGTAAGCATTCGTTTTGTGCATTCCTCATTTTCATCAAATGAGCACCTTGCCCCATTCGGTGGTGCGGCGCGGTGGCAGCGCGTAGCGGGAACCATAACATGCAAAATTTCTCGTGCGTTTCGGTTAAAATAGTAGTCCTATCGTATTCTGTGAAAAATTAGCACCCTACCACACAAACTTCATCAAAAATAACATCAAAATAAGGGCGTTTGAGATATTTTTTCGACTAGAGGCTTCTGCTTTGTTGTGGTTCCGCCGAATGGGGTAAGGTGCTCATACATTGTTCGATAAACCAGCGTGACAAATCTACAGTACAACGCACGTAAGCAGCGCCACTTATGTTTTCCTTCGGGAAGGAGAACAATATCACCTTACCCAAAACGGCGGGACATAGCCTAACCGTTTCATTCAACTTTGACTGTGCGCCGTTTTTGGGAGATCGCTCTTTTCTAGGCATGTGGGTTTGAGGGAAATAATGAAGCGTGTTGAACTGACCTCTTACCCTAGTAGCGCCAATGCGCGTAAAATGCGCATTTTCGGCGCATTCATGTGCATTGTGCATTATCAATGCGTGAAAAATGCGCGCATTAATAGGGGTGTTTAGCAATGCGCATTCGCGAAGGCGCATTTCACCCGCAATAAATGCGCATTATGTATGCGCATTAATAATGCACCCTCAATGCGCATTTACGAAGTTGCATTTCACCCGCAATAAATGCGCATTATGTATGCGCATTAATAATGCACCCTCAATGCGCATTCACGAAGGCGCATTTCACTTGCAATAAATGCGCATTATATATGCGCATTAATAATGCACCCTTAATGCGCATTCACGAAGGTGCATTTCACCCGCATTATATGCGCATTATATATGCGCATT